TTCTCCCCCACCCCTCAGGCTCTCCCCTACGTTCCCCTCCCACCCGCACACAGCACCCCAAATCCCCAAGCCCTGTCCCGCGTGCCCTCACCTGAGGAACACAGTGCAGACCAGAACCGGCCTTGGGGACAGGGGAAGCCTGGCGGCCGGCCCTGCCTGCACAGAGGGCAGTGAGGGGCCAAGGCTCCAGCCAGCAAGGGCGGGGCCTGGAGGCAGACTGTGGAAGGAGCCAGGCTGGCCTGGGAGCGGGGCCCAGGCTGTCCACGTCCTGCACACTGCGGCATAGCCTTGGACAAGTGGGTGTGGGTGCGGAAGGCACCAAGCAGTCCCCACGCGGAACACTTCTGCAGCCTTCCAGCAGAGTGTCAAGCCGGGCTTGGTGGCACACATCTGTGGGGAGGCTGAGGCAGGAGGATCACAAGTACCAGACTGGCACCAGCAACTTCGAGACCCTGTCTCAAAATTTTAAACATTGAAAGGACTCTCAGTGTGAAGGCTGTGGATTCAATTTCCGATACCACACACACACAGATTAGGTACAGATCAAACCTGGCAGGGAGCAGGACCCATCTGGAGGGGGAGCAGAGCCCTGCAGCCTGCCTGGGATGGCTCTCTGGGGACACCAGCCCGGCCCTGCTCTGCAAGGCCAGCCCAGACCAGGTCCATTCTGAGGATGGCCAGAGGGCTGGAGAAGGACCAGAGCAGGCTGGAGTGCCTGGAGCAGCAGGACCCCATGGGCTCAGCGAATGGGATGGGGCAGTGGGCTTGCTGGATCTGCAGGACGATCGCCCCATGCATGTGGAGTTTCTGCCAGGTACATGTTAGGGGGACAGCAGTCTCCCTAAGCGGCCCTAGGGCTGTGCCACATGGGAGCCCAGAGGTAGAGAGAGGCAGGTGGTTCACCAGGGGAACCTCACCAGGCTTCCCTGACACCTCCTCCAGTTGCTCCAGGGTGGCACTGGGGCCTGCAGATGAGAAGACCTCCCCCACCTTCATGGAGGTGACAGCCTGGGGGAGGAGGCCACATCCCTCAATCCAGGGCCTCCCAGAGCTGGAGCCGAGCCTTAGCTGGGCTCAGGTCTGGGGGGCCAGAAGACCCCTGAGCCAGGCTGTGAAGGAGGAGACTCCGCACCTGGGCCTAGGCAGGGGCTTCACTGGGAGCCAGGGGCCAGGGCAGCCTGGCAGAGAGAGCACCAGCAGCGTAGGGGCGGGCAGTTTGAGCAGTGACCAGGAGGGGCGGGGAGGGGCAGGGACGCAGCACAAGTTCCCCGGGCGAGCATGGCTCCGTGTCCAGGCTGGGAGCTCCATTGTAGTCAGTGCTCTATGTTCTGGTAGAGAGCAGAACAACTGGTGCTTCTTTAGGAGCAAGCACCTAGGCAGTTTGAGTGTGGGGAGAAGAGGGCAGACTTAGGGGGCAACCTGGGTGGGGCCATAGTTGCCCCTTCCCACTGCAGACCCTGCTCCTTGGCCCTCAGTCCTCAGGTCTGCAAAGTGGGTTTGATGATCATACAGGCAGCTGGGAATTCAAAAACAAGGAAGATGTGATTCTTGTCCACTTCCTTCACTGTGATTCCAGCTTGCAGGAGAACCCGAGCTAGGTGTTGACAGGTGTTGGTGGGGGAGTGCAGGCGCACCCTCCAGGCTGACTCAGGACAGACCCCGAGCTCATTCACAGCAGCTGGGAGGGCATCGCCGCCCACTTACACTTGAAAACCAGGTGCCGCCAGAAAGTGCAACTGTTGCAAGGTACCAGTCCCCAAATGGGGGTCCCGGAGGGATGTCCAGGCAGGAGCCCCCTCCCACCTCCGTGAAACCCAGAAGGAGGTGCCTGGAGCAGCCCCGAGGGATCAACACCAGCCTGTCTGCACCCTGGGAGCCTGTCCGCCTCCCCTCCCTGGCCTGGGAGGGCTGTGACACCCCACCCCCACCCCCGCGTGGCCTGGGGCTGTCTGGATCCTCTCCTGAAAGAGCCCTGTGGATGCTGTCCCGGCCCAGGGTGAGCTGTGGGGCCGGGCCTGGGGCAGCAGCCTGTCCTCCAGCAGATGGGCTCAGCCCCTGAGTTCAGAGCCCGGGACGGTGTCACTGTAGTTCCTGACTGGCAGGTGAGAGCCCAGAGGGCTTGGCAGGGGCTCAGGGCAGCTCCTGGGGGAGCACGGCTCCCCCTTCACACCTGGCCTGGGGTGCCGGATCCCAGAAGCAGGCAGTGCACAGCCCAGGGCCCTGGACCCCGGATCCTCAGCCCTGGAATTTGGGTCACGCAGGCTCTCCAGGCTCCCTGACCCAGCTGGGTGGATCTGGCTGGGGTGGCTGCTCCCGGCTCACTTCCGGCCATGAGGCTGTCCTGAGGACTGGGAGCTGAGCTAAGAGGGGAGCGGATGAATAGCTGCAGCTCCCAAAGGACCCTGATCTCTCCAGGCCCAGCCTGCCCTGCAGCGAGTGCCCCACTAGCTTCCCCTCCCCTGACCGAGCACTGGAGTCCAGGATAGGTTTTGGTTTCCTTTCTGCTCAGGGCCTTCCTCCTGCAGGCCCAAGGGGGCAGGGCATAGGGAGTATCCTTAGTGGGGGGCGTGGCCTGCACTGTATAAAGCAGACCCCCAGCTCCTCATCAGAGCTGCACCAGGACTGGTAAGTGTCTTCCCTGAGGTGGGGTGGGGTCGCTGTGGACAGCGCTCAGGGTGGGGCACATGCACATCTGGCTGCCAGGAAGGGTGAGGATTATTGGACACTTCTGGATCCGGGTGGGGACAGACTCCCTTCAGTCCTGTCCCACCTTGATCCACACTCACGGTGGGCGGCAGGTGCAGCCCCAGCTGGGCCTTCCAGGTGCAGTCTGAAGGGGATAGGGGACTGAGGTTCCTGGGGCCAAGGAAGGGGCTTCCAATCCAGTGCCTCCTCTGGGTCCCCAAACTCACATAGGCTAGGAAGTCAGGGGCCCTGGGCTGCCCCAGGGAGGGGACTTCTGGGACTGCTGGGTCCTCAGGAAGGGCTGGCAGCCAGAGGAGGGCAGGAGCGTGCTGCTCACTTTCCTCCCTGGCTGGTGACAGAAGACCCTGAGGGGCAGGCCCAGTAGGTGGGAGGCCTCAGCCTTCAAGGCCATCCAAGTTCCGGAAGTGACGTGGGTGTGGGGGGAGTGCAAGGAGCACCTGTACCGCTGAATGCTGCCTCCCCCGCCGGGAGACCTTGAGCTGCCCAGAAGGGCTTTGGAATCGTCTGATCCTCTGGGAGGGAGCTTTTGCCTAGGAAGCAGGATTGCTGGAGTCAAGGCACCCAGCACCCTTACACCTGCTCTGTCACCCATCGGAATCCCAGAAGGTGTGAAGGTGTCTCATCTCTGCTGGGGGACCCAGCCGCTGTCTAGCTGCAGCCACTTTCTGAGCGATTCCTGCACCCCAATACCACCACCAGCTGGAACAACTTTCTGAACACTATCTGAAAGGGGGTTCGCGTGCCCTTTCGGGTGCCCCTTCCCAATTAGGCCACTCACGCACCGAGAGGTCCGACGGG